TGTATGTATGTGTGTGTGTGTGTGTGTGTGTGTGTGTATATATATATATATACACACACACACACACACACACACATACACACACACATACACCAATGAACTTTAAAAAAAAAGAAAGAAAAAGAAAAAGAAAAAGCAATAAAGTAGTTGGCTCTGGGAAATAAAAATATTCTAAAATAAATTGACAGGTTTTGAATAACTGATTTTTTGCATGTCAAGCAAATGTTATTAGTGGAACATCATTGGTAACAGTAACTGCAGCAATTATTTTGGAGCTCAGCTGGGAAAAATGCAAGAAAGGAATATTTACCTTAAACCTGATTGCTGTACCTGCACTTCGATGCTTTAATTCTGTCAACAGTATTGCATTTTTCAAAATGTAATATGCATGGATGCATGTCCAGTAAGACAGAAAGGAAAGGAATTGCCTGGAATGGCACAACAACTGCGGAATTGTCCAGCATCCAGATCTGGACAGAATTTTCTTAAAGTGGCTTAGAGTTCAGTCAGCATGAGGATGGGACAGGAGCAGCTTAAGAATGCAGTCTGGATGTGCCCTTGGTCAAGTAAGTAGGTTAGAGTACTGTAATCTGGCTCAGCTGTCATTGTTGGATCACTTCATTATGAAATTTAGCTTTCACAAGCTGTTCTACTCCATAGAAATAAACCTATCAGATTGTTTGATGGAATCTGAGAGACTCCTGAACACCTTCAGGGAATTTCTGGATGACCTCTTGGGAGTTCCTGCTAAATCCTTTCAGAACCCTGGAAGAATTGGGACTCCTGGACTAAGTTTCACCTACAGGGACTCTAAACTGAGTAAGAATTGTTAGAAAATGCCTTTATGGGTCTCAGCACAAGAAACATTTTATAGGAAAGAAACAGCAGGTGAAGAGAAATGGTTAACTTAACAAGAGTTGTTAGGGATTTAGTTTTCAATGGTTTTCATATGCATAGCTAAGAGAAAAATTCAAGGAAGATAACAGGACATTTGGAATTGAGCAGCAGAAGACAGAATTTGAAGTTGAATTATATACAATTGGTAAACATGTAATTGCCAAAGCGTATCAACTCTTGCTGAAATTTGAAATGGAGGACAAACAAGTGAAAGAGTGTATGATAAAATAGATTAAGAATTTTGGATGTAACATATTGTTGGAATAGTGGGAAAACATGCAGTGAATTGAAATTTACATTATAACTTAAAAGAGAATTTCTATAAAATGATGTACCATTGGTACATGATTCCAGAAAAAATATCTAGAATGTATGAAGGTACTTCATATTAATGTTGGAAATGTGGAAACATGAAGGGTCATTTTATCATGCCTGGTGGACTTGTAAAAAAGCCAGAAAAAATTGGGTTCAAATACAAACACTGATATGAAGAATTTGAAGACTAGCATTCAACTGAAACCAGAACTTTTCTGGTTGGGATTAATGGGCATACAGCTAAAAAAGAGCCATGGAAGAATATTTTTATATTAATCACTGCAGCGAGACTGCTATATGCCCAAAAAAGGAAAGACTCTGATATACCCACAATAGAGGAGTGGTCGGTGAAGATGACAGAACTAGCAGAGATGGCAAAATTAATTTGTTTGTTTAGATAAAGATCAATTATTACATTTATTAGTGACTAGAAACCCCTTATGGATGTTTTGCTGAAAAAAGAAAAAAAATGAACTTGTGATTTATAGGCTTGACAATTAGAAAGGGTAGCTTATGGAAGAAGGAAATTAGGATGTAACCTTAGAGAGAGGGGGTAAAATATAAATGCATTTATAATGGCTGTCAAAAAGATTGGAAGCCGCTTCTCTATAATCTTTTCTTTTTCTTTTTCTGTTTTCTTTCTTATTTATTTGCTATTCTCTTTTATTTTGTTTCTTTTCTAATATGTGTATTGCTTTTATCTTGTTAAAAATTTCTTCAATATATACATTAAAAAAAGAGAAAAGAAGAAGCAGTATTCCACAGTATCTATACTGCTCAGAGGCTTACCTGTCTCATTACACTTGAGAACTGATTCTTCTATTTCTCCATTTGCACCCCTTTTTGTAATATAAACAACAGTGTAACTTAGAAGCTCGTGTGTGGTGTTACTCCAACAGGTATAATTGCCAGCATCTGGAGTCTCCCTGACTGTTATTTTCAAAGTCATGCCATTTCCTGCCCATTTCAAGTCTTTCTTCCAATAAACAAATCCATGCAGACTTTCAGGTGCCTTGCAGGTGAGTGTCAACTTCTCGGGATGTGCTGAATTATCTGAAGACCACCGGATTTCTACAAAGTGGACTGAACATTGCAAAACAATTAAGTCGTAAAACCCTAAAAGAGCAGGCACTGGCCGGCCAACCGGTTCATCTAGGGCCCAGTGATGGACTCCTTGAAAATGCTAATGCATTCTTACATTACAGCACTTTGTTTAAGAAAGTAAAGATATTGAGACAGAGCAGACCAAAACACCACGTGCAAATCGAAGCAGTGCTCTTCCTTAAGCAGCTGTCATCTAAACCTATAAACAGAAGGCAGCTGCTTCAGAGGAATCTCATAAGGCATGTGGGTTGGGGAAGACAATGTTTCCACTTCTGGCCAGCAAGAAAACTTGGCATGAATACAGATTAATATTCTCCCCCATATTTTACTCCCATTGACATCTGTTATGTGATAACATTCTTTACTTTTAGCACAGAGTTACAAATAGCTAACAGCATAGACACCATATACATTATCATTTAGTACATTTTCATTTCTATCCTGAGCCTTGTGGAACAGAACATTCTGTTCAACGTTTGCAATATGCCTTTGTAATACCTGAGGTCATTCATTGTTACTGTCATAGAGCTTAGTACTGTACATGTGTGAAAGTTGCCGGTGTTTGTTAAGGAAGAGAAAAAATGAGGCATTTCTTCCCTTCCTTTGGTTTCCTGCCTTTGCCTGACCTGATCAATAAGATCAGACCATCCTGGAAAACACTGCCATTTGAAATGCAACAATACGTCCTCTACATTTCTATTGTTACTGGACCAGGAGAAGACAACTACATCTTCTTTCATTTGCTTCTCTTTACACACTGTAGCAAGATATACTGAGGAACAGCTATGCTGGGAAGTTGTCTACTTCCCTTGCACTCATGGCAAGTTCTTGGAACAACATATAGCAGAAAAGGTATTTTATTTTCAGAAGTGTGGGTTTGAATAATGAAACTTGTGGGTATTTAATTATTTAATTCTACTCTAACATAGGTGGTAAAATGTTTTATTGGAAAGTTTGGGCAGAAGCTAGGATTATGACTTTAAATCAATTATTACATCATGATTGTTTTAAGGATTTTTTTCCCAGCTTCAAATTGAATTTGGTATCCTAGTTCACAACAGTGGTAGGATTTTCAGCTTAACAGCTCACTATAAGCCAGATGCTTAGGCCTCTTCAAGGGCACCTGAGAAACCCCCTTATTTGATGGAATCCTCAACAGAAGTAAAACCCATAACATATCTCTAGCAAAAGCTTAAGAATGTTTTTAAAGTGGACATTTCTTAGATATTCCAAATATGGACTAAGGAATTGGAATCTCCAATAATGCCCCATCAATGGCTTTATGTTCTTAAAAATGTTAGAATGGTATGAACAATTTTGAGATTAAAGTTGATTCATCAGAAATTGTATTTAGAGTGTACTGGACTCTCCCCAAAAATGTACTTGAAAGGATAGACATCAGATTTTCTTTGTTGGAGGTGTACAAAATTTGGGCATTTGTTGATGCGCATGATATAGTCCTGTGATCATCTGATATGTTTTTGGAGTGGTATTTTAATGTGCATAGGTAGATTTATTGAAAAATCTTTAAATGTTAAAGATGTTAATGTGGTATTACATTATATAGCAACGCCTTGGAATCTGTTTATCAGGAATTATGGTTCTATCCTGCATGGAGGGTGGCTAAAACAATTATACTTCAATATCACTGAAAAGTGATATTATTCCAGATGTTAAGGATTAGATTTGGAAATGTGTAATTTACCTGTCCTGGAAAAGGCAATATTCTTCACTAATCAAAGAATGAAGCAACGTGAACTACTTTGGGAGATATTTTACAATATTTTACAATAATATTTTGTATTTGATTATACCATATTATTATATGGTATTTATTAGAAAACCAGTGACTATTGATAAGTTTAATA